CCCCCCCCCCCCCCATACGCACCTCCAAATGCCATTTTATCGTCTGAGAATCATATGTTACATGTTCAATAAATGTTTATTTACCCCAGTATAGCCAGTATCTCTCCTGTATTCATCTTGTGTTGGTGTTGTATACAACGCGATGTCTGCATGATTTCAATGGCCCCGTTCCCACTTCCTACCTCCTACTTGTGTCTCCTTTGCCACACCCAACTTTAAACTTCATTTTGAGCTCAGCTACACACCAGTAAAGTTTCGCGACTGCACCTTGCACGGTTGCGACGTTATCGCGGTAACATAATTTGTCCCCAGAGAGATGGAAACATAAACACATGGCAAATATCTCAAAACAGCTACTGTTGTAGCTCTTGCTACAGAAGGGGCCAATTCCAAAATATACCCTTGTCTAGCTGGGAAAAGTTAATTTGATTGTGTGTGTGTGTGTGCGTGCGTGCATCTCCATGCTTCAAAAAATGTCCACTTCTTATGATCGCTTCTTCATACTACATGTCCCATCATGCACCTCCGCTTTTTCCACAGAGTTTCTTCACTTGTTATCCTCACGCTTTTACTTCACACGCGTAAAGTGTAAACAGCAAAACACTCGTATGAACATTTGTCCATCCAGCTGCACACAAAAGTCAGTCCAAGTTTAAAAACGTAATTTCAAGAACGTAAGATAACGTTAGTGAAACGGGTAGGAGGGACCGGACGTGTCCAGCACGCACACCGTGAGTCCAGCAGCGCGGACTGAAGTCCAACACACCTCACACTCCGCCGTGCTACGAGGTTCACGAGCAGGTAAAACCGTTTAAAACTACTTCTGGTGACATTGTAGTGACTTCAAGTCTTCAGACGGTGTCGTTGGCGACCCGCATCTGAAATAGTGATTTGTTTTCACCAAGTTATAGAAAAGTTGCATGTGACGTTTAGTTGACGCAAATGCAACCTTACATTACAGCCTCGAAGTAACGGTACCGTGACAGTTTACTTCAAAGAGTGCGGAGGAAGAATGTGGACTTTTGTAGTAAACGGTTTGTTATATATAAAGTTAGTTAAATGAAGTGAACTTCTCGCTGTATGGCTGCTATTCACGTTAGCTAATGTTAGCAAAAACACAAAGTGGCATTATACTAATGCAGCCTTGTTCCCGCTGTTGCTATCAGACTGCAGCACACAGACGTGTTTACCTGCTGGTGACACGTGAGTGAGGCGTCACAGTGGAGTGCTGAATGGGAAAAGCTCTGTCATGCAGGTCTCAGCAGGCTGAGGGGGCCTTGGTCAGCCCTGTTCTTTACCAAATCCTGGCCACAACAACAGGGACCCTTTTGTCTGCCCCCCCCTGTAAACTCAAGCTCATAAATCCTCTGTGCCCCAGACTCAAATCACACTGAGAGAAAGTCACCCTCATACTTCTCTGTTTGATTTGTCATTGAATCATTTGTTTTAGTGTGACAACATGAGGATTCTGTCACATCTAGTTACAAAGTATTGATTCTTTATTATTTAGTCTATCAAGTCTAATAAGTAACTTCATTTTTAATGAAGTCCAAAGAATGCATGCATACTTTAGTGATGCAATTGTTACATTATGTGATAGCACATTTATGGTTACTGTGATAACAGACAGCTTGCTCTGCTTTGTATACTTTTCATGCTGTCTTGGCCATGTAAAATAACTCATGAACGTTTCCTTGTGTCATCGGTCCTACACGTCCTTTTGTTGTCTCACCCACCCTCCCTCCCAGTCCTGTATCTCTCCATCCCTCCACCCGGCACAGACACTGAGCGCCATGTTCACGGAGGTGCTGGTTGCTCTGGTGATCGGCGGGCTGATCTTCTTCCTGGTTCAGCGGAGCAGGACCCAGGTTCTAAAGACGGAGGATGGCTGGTGGGGGGCTGGCGCGCCCCCCGACGGCGGGGAGGACGCCACCATTCGCCCCTTTAAAGTCACCAGCAGCGACGAGGAGCTGGAGGTTAGATCCCCTCTTGATGTGTAACACACGAGTCGTCTCCACGTAGCGCTTACTCATGCTTCCACATGTCCCTCTTTGTCAGGACCTTTACAGGAGGATAGACCAGACCCGCCCCGTCCCCTCCCTAGAGGACAGCCAGTTTAACTACGGCTTCAACTCCCAGTACCTGCAGAAGGTGGTCTCCTACTGGAGAAACGACTTTGACTGGAGGAGGCAAGTTGACAAGCTCAACCGGTACCCCCACTTTAGAACCAACATCGAAGGTGAGGCCGCACTGCTGACACCTTCATGAAGAGGAAGATGTCCCACCTCTAACCTGTTGTCCCTCACTGACCTGCCAACCAGGCATTGATATCCACTACCTGCACGTGAAGCCCAAGAAGGTGCCAGAGGGATCTACTGCTATTCCTCTGATAATGGTCCACGGCTGGCCCGGCTCCTTCTATGAGTTCTACGGACTGATCCCTCTGCTGACAGAACCGTCGGACCCACAGGATCTTGTGTTTGAGGTGGTGTGTCCCTCCATACCAGGGTACGGTTTTTCGGAAGCACCACATAAGAAAGGTGAGTCCGGAGAGATATATTTTTTCCTCTTGCCTTGAGAGTGATAAAGTAGTACAGTATAGATGTGGAAACATTAACGTCAAGTGTGTTCATACTGCAATTGCTAAGAGTGTGTGTGTGTGTGTGTGTGTGTGTGTGTGTGTGTGTGTGTGTGAGAGAACAGGTTTTGATTCAGTTTGTGCGGCACACGTCTTTCACAAACTGATGAAGCGCCTGGGCTTCCAGAAGTTCTACGCTCATGGAGGAGACTGGGGCTGGCTGGTCACCACCAACATGGCCCAGCTGGAGCCCGGGTAAGACACACACAAGAACTTCCTCAACACCTGACACATGCTTTTTATTGTTGTGTAAATGCTTGTCTGTTGACCGTGGCGGTCTCCCTGTGGACAAATGCGGTAGTGTTTCCGAGCACCAGATTACCTTTCAAAAAGCGCTCATTTGTCTGACAGTCTGGCCCCGCGTTGTTCTGGTTCTGCCGGGCCTGGCTTCCCTCCAGCGGGCCCATCAATACGGCCTGGGTATCCGGCAGCGTGGTGTCGGTGTTTGCTCCCAGCGGGGCAAAGCTCTACCCGCTCTACTCAGAGCTTCCAACTGCAGGTCGTAGGCTGCAGCGTAGCCGAATCTGATTCTGGCCGTCGTGGGCCGGTCTCTGCCGGAGGCCCTGCTGCAGTCTGAGCTGAAGGAGTTTAATTCATGCTGAAGGAATTAGTATTATATTGAGACCCTTTCATAGCCAGTTAAAAGTTCCTCACAGTACTTTAAATAAGGTATCACTAGTCTTTTCTTTTTGTTTTATCTGTTACCCAGGATAGTCAAAGGCCTGCATGTGAACTTTGCCCCGCCCTCCAAACCAGGCCTGTCCATGGCTTTATCCATCATGCTCGGCCGTCGCTTCCCCAAGATGTTTGGCTTCACTGACATGGATATTCAGCGTCTCTATCCCCGCATGGAGAAGCTGGTGGTGGAGCCCATCAAGGAGTCCGGCTACATGCACATCCAGGCCACCAAGCCCGACACCGTGGGTAAGGACCTGGCAGCACGAGACTGTGGACTGGACTTCCATAGAGTTTAAAGTGGTTCATAGAATCTTAACTGGTATTATACGCTCACATTACAGGGCTTAATGCTCAATTACCATTTTTTCTTTTTTACCCAGATCTGATCTTTCTGCCGACTCTGTTTCCGTTCATGGTCGCAGTGACTCATATCTGACTTTGGTGTTAACAGATCTCTGCACTGAGACGCCTCACATGCAACCAATAATGTCGCACACATGGGAGACTGCCCATTGGTCTGAAAATACACATTGAAGTGAACATATTGCTCAATTTTTAAGATATGGGTCCCCTGATGAACAGATAATACTCCTAGGTATGACTTTGAAGGACTCATTTCGACTGATAACTGTGAATTAAGTCGAAGAAACTCAAGTAAGACGTGCAACTTAACTGTCTGCTGTCCCGAAACACCTCCAGTCAGCATCTTTGTAACGTGATTTCATCAAATCAGAGTTCTACTTTGTGAAACATGACACATTTATCAGAAGAACTGAGTGAATCAGTTTGATAAGTTCATTTACATTTTGAATGACGGCAAATAAAACCTTCATCTGTTTCCTAAAGTCGGAGGAAAGCCTTCGTTGACACATTGTTAAGCGCTATTTTAATCAATATTGTTATTGATAATTCACAACTTGCCTTTATCTAAATACATCTTTTTTCACAATCCCTATTTGTTGGCGTTCAGCCTTTCAAAAACTAAAATTTTCACTGCAAGAAAACTGCTTTCCCCCTCACTGCACACAAAGGGAGGCCTGCATCTGTATTAACAGGGGGGTCTAGCAGCAATCTAACAGCACCATGATTTAGCCTTCATTTATAAAACCACAATAACTAAAGAAACACTCTACTCTGAACTAATCAGATATGCGTCACCTGGATTCGGGCCACATTTGCTGGTCATGTGGACGTAGCCTTAGCCTCTCATCATTTCTGACTCACTGTGTTACAGGTCGAGGACTGAATGACTCCCCGGTGGGTCTGGCTGCCTACATTCTGGAGAAGTTCTCGACGTGGACAAGCCACGACTTCAGGAACCTGGAGGACGGAGGGCTCACCCGGTGACTAGAACTCAATGGAACATTTCGATCACACTATCAAGTATAAACAAGCGATACGTTCTGAATACCATCAGTCGCAGCAGCATATGTATGAGTAAAAGTCGATCCAATGTATTCAGATTCAGACTGTATGGATGAATGATGAGTTCCTGTAGTGGGTACCGCTCAGTAGCCTCATTACTGTAACAGAGCCTGTGTGTGTGTGGTGCCTTGCAGGAAGTTCTCTCTGGACGACCTGCTGACGAATGTGATGATCTACTGGACGTCTGGCTGCATCGTCTCCTCCATGAGGTTCTACAAGGAAAACTTTGGCAAAGGCCTCGACCAGCCTCACTCTAAGTGAGTTTTAATGTGACCAAGCCAGTGTTACGTTGCTCAAAGAACACATGCGGAAGCACAGAAGCTTAACAATGTGCTGCTGTGGACCAGCAAATCCTGTGTTCTGCAAAGCAAAATTACAAGTCTGGTGGCCCTTGCACCGGAGACCCCCTTATGTGTTCATGTCATGGGAAGTTAGGAGGTCAAATAACATGTCTAATGTGAACGTCGTCTCCTGGTTAAACGCTGACACGTCCCTGTCTCTTCGCAGGATGCCTGTGTACGTTCCCACTGGGTTCGCCTGCTTCCCCGACGAGCTGATGCACACTCCCAAACTCTGGGTCGAGCAGAAGTACCGCAAACTGGTGACGTTCACGCCCATGGCCCGCGGTGGCCATTTTGCTGCCATGGAGGAGCCCCAGCTGATGGCCGAGGACATCCAGAACTTCACGAAGACGGTGGAGAAGAAGAAGAAGAAGTAGTGGTCAAAGTGAATGATTTCTACAGCAAAGTAGTTTAATAATGATATAAATTTCTTTGATCAGTGATGATAAATAAGATGAAGTCTATAGTTTAGGAACGTTTAGAGTCATCTATAACTGATTAGACTCAGTAAACTAGTATTTCCTTGATAGGATTAGTCTGAGATTTGCAAGTTTTCTTTGATTAATCTGTCAATGTTTCTGAGGGAGAACTCTTCTGCTCGTTTTCGTTGTGTTTTTGCACATTTCAGACAGAAACTGAACTGTTATTTCAAATTGAGACAAATGTTACAATCACTGTGTCAAAGCCGATGAAATAAAGTATGTGCTGATAACACCGTTTGATTCATTCACGGTTTGATCTGAAGTGTTCTTACTGAGACGTTAGGAGGTAAATGTTTGTCAGAACAGATCAGCCTCTTTTTATTTCAGTTTAGACTATAGCTTGTTATTAAATGTGTGGAAATATCTGCTGATGACCTCATTTCATTCATAGATCTCTATAAACAAAGTTACAATGTGGAGCCTTTATTCAGCAGAGGTATATTTTATTACTTGCTGAGGATTGTAAGCTCCTTCCTCAGAGCAGGTGAGTGTTTAATGTATGAAATTCATACTGTTCCCTCAAAACAACCCAGAATATCAGCTAGTAACATTATTTGATCCTAGTTTATGTAAAGGAACTTAACAGGTGGATGCATTATTCGGGGAAAGATGACTTAGTAACCATGCAACGATAAAACACATGAAGAAGAAGCTGTACAGGCTGCTGGAGTAATCTTCATTCCTCTTCTCTTCTGGACTGTTGGAATGTAATGAAAGTGTTTAGAATGTGGTTGTATCTCTAGTCTGACCAGGCCTACAACAATGACATCAGGCCTCTTACCATCGTCGTCTGTCATCACCTTCATCATAGTTCTATCTTAACGCTCTTATAATACATCATGCACCCCAAAGTCATTGTAAGTGCGACATCCTTCTCCTCAGAGTGTCAGCAGCAGTGTTTCTGA